ACATAAAGCCCGTTTGGTGACCCTGTTTTTCGACTTATCAGACTTATCAGTCAACTTTTCACCAAATACGTAACTTTTTATTTCGCGCGCTGGAAAGTGTAAAAATAAGAAAAAGTAAGGTTGAAGATATTTTTCTGACTATATTGGCTGAAGTTATTATAGAGGATTGTTTGAGCTATTTCGTCCTATAATTTTTCTTTATTTAGTTAATAAAATATATTTTAAATATAATTTTTTCTTAAATGAGTCCATCCACATATTTAGAACTTTATAAATTTGTAAAAGAATTAGCAATGAAGCCGATTTAAATATTACCAGGGGCTCCTAAAGTTATTTTGTTTTTAAATATTACCAAGGGGCTCCTAAAGTTATTAATCACTTTTACCGACAGAAACATAAAAACTCGGTACGAAACGGCAGGAAAGGAGTGTTGAAAAAACTCCACACTGCTTAACAGAATAATCATAGTAACAGTACTGCTACTCACAATTGCCAGTCAAACAGAACAATAGTTTCACCTCACCTCTGACTCTCTCTCTCAGTTCCAGACCCGCCGCCGTTTCTCTGCAATAGCCGACGTGCCGGAAATTGGACCTTTCTCACCGGGAAAGCGTCAGCCGGCATGTGAGTGTACCAAAACCATCAGATCAGGTATTTTTATCTCTTAACTTTCTTTGGGCAAGAATATAACCAGATTCTATAAAGGAAACGAAGGTAAGGAAAACATCAGTGACCCCTTTCGTGAACACACAAAAATCTTGAAATCCCAAATTTTGATTCTTTATTTCTTTTGCTTCTTTTCTTTCATATTTACATATCTGATTTCGCAGGAGAATTCTAGGGTCGTTAAGGTGAAGAACTCTGTTAAAAAGGGTGAAAGGTGAAGTTCTGTTAGAATTAGCAACCTCCAAAGTGGTATAGTTTATCAAAACCCTTTAAAATTCCTGGGGTTATTTGTTGTGTGCAGAACCGAGTGTTGAGGCGTTTTGGCGATGGCTGATGCGTCCGTGTTTCTAATTCCTTAAACAAGTACCTCAAGTTTGTCAAACCTGTAATTGAAAAGGGATGTTTTTTACCATCTTCTTCTGTCATGATGTGGAATTCAAGCTTCCTTATTTTGTCTTTGTTCATTTTTATAGGTGTTTATGTTTGACAAACTTTTCTGTTTGGAATCCATAATTGCTAGTTTCTGTAGTGGAGTTGGTGTTTTTTGTTCTTCCTTCTTTCCTTGCAAAACATCCATATGGATGTGAGGAGTTATTTTATTTCCATCTAGATGTCTCCAATGGCAGAAAAGAGTATGAATCCGTTAAGGCTTCTTTCATTCCTTATAGCCATTTCTTTGTTTCTATTAACCATCTCTTCTTTTTCCCTCCTCCACTTTGATACCAAATATTTCATACCCAAATCAGTTCTCCAGTTAATTCTCATTAACAACATCACTTCAGATAATTGGAATTCAAGCACTACCCGTGCTGAAACCGAGATGCCTTTGCTTCCTAATTCCAGTAAAAAACCTAACAGAGTGTGTGAAGGGAGGAATCAAACTATTCTTAGAGTCTATATGTATGACTTGCCGCCTGAATTCCACTTTGGCCTATTAGGATGGAAAGGAAGTAGGAACGATAAAATATGGCCTGATGTGGACGAGCCGAGCAAAATCCCACGATATCCAGGTGGGTTGAACTTACAGCACAGCATAGAGTATTGGCTCACCCTCGACCTTTTATTGTCAAATACCTATTATACCCCAACTGTTTTTAGTAGACCATGCACGGCTGTGAGAGTTCGAAACTCAACCGAAGCGGACGTGATATTTGTACCGTTTTTCGCTTCCCTGAGTTACAACCGCCATTCAAAGGTTCAGAATGATGGTGAGATCAGCAAGGACCGACTGCTGCAACATAGAGTGGTCGAGTTTTTGAAAAGTAGAGATGAGTGGAAGCGGTTTGGTGGGAGGGATCATCTTGTGGTGGCTCACCATCCTAATAGTATGTTGTTTGCTAGGAAGAAGCTGGGTTCTGCCATGTTTGTACTTGCAGATTTCGGAAGATATCCGGCTGAAATAGCAAATATAGGAAAGGATGTGATTGCTCCTTACAGACATATGGTGAAGACAATAGATGCTGGGATTTCACGCCCATTTAAACAACGCCCTATATTGGTCTACTTTCAAGGCGAAATATACAGAAAAGATGTAAGTTGATTAAGCTCTTGATTTTTTTTATTCACTTAATACATAGTTGTTTGTATTTATATTGTAAAGCAAAACCAAACTAAAATAAAGAATCCAATCTATCAGCTACTTCAATTTCAAGTCTTATTACACCCATTATTTTTTCTTTCATTTTTCAAGGAGAGATTCTGATAGTCTCCCTCAAGAAAACTGGGTCATTTTGAATCAACTTAGTTGGTGACTTGCAAACTAAACTCCTCTCTCTTGAAACTAAAACTCGAAATGAAGTTAAACAAAGGCAACCAAAACCTGCTTTAGTTGTCATGCCATGGTAGAATTCAAGATTGGATTGGGGTTTACTTAACTGGGTCATAAACCACACTAATCTCTTAGCTAGTTCGACTCAATGTCTATGAGCTTATCAATTTCTCTTTTATTCTCCTATATGGGATTATATGAGTGTTTTTTCTTATTGACAGGGTGGAGCCATTCGCCAAGATTTATATTACCTGCTTAAAGATGAAAAAGATGTCCACTTCACATTTGGTAGCACTCAATCAAATGGTATCAGATCAGCTAGCCAGGGAATGGCTTCATCAAAGTTCTGTCTGAACATAGCTGGAGACACTCCTTCCTCAAACCGACTCTTTGATTCCATTGTTAGTCACTGTGTCCCAGTGATCATAAGTGATGACATTGAGCTGCCATATGAAGACGTGCTTGATTATTCTGAATTTTGTATCTTTGTTCGAGCTTCAGATGCTTTGAGGGAAGGCTACCTTTTGAGTGTTCTTAGAGGAATCCAGGAAGAAAAGTGGACCAAAATGTGGGAAAGACTAAAAGAGATCACCATACATTTTGAATACCAGTACCCATCCCAACCTAATGACGCTGTCGATATGATTTGGCAAGCGGTTTCAAGGAAAAAGTATTCCATACAACTGAAGACTAATCGGGATAACAGATACCATAGATCAGAGCTCTTCCTGAAGAGCCAATGACACATTAAGATTGCTTTATAAGATATACTATGTATTTTACATCTAAGATGGATGTAAAAACCTTATAGATTCCATGTTAGGCTTTACCTTATAGAATACTGTATTATTATTGTTTTTATATCCGAGTGGTAAAAACCTTTGATGACAAGGTTTTTGAATTTCATATATTCATAAAATTATACCTTCATAAGGAGGTGGCAACAGGATTGGTTTCAGGTGGGGAAATTTTGCTGTCTTTGCATGAATTTTAAATTTTGATGACTAGTTTTTGACAACTACTTGACATTATAGTTATGATTAAGGTGGTGGTGGTGGTGAAATAAAATCACATAATCTTTTTGGTGAATAATCTATTTACTTGGAAATCTTCAAAAGCTTTGTATTTGGCAATATGTCGCCTTTTGATTGATTGATTGTAAGGGTGTTTTCACATTTCAGTTCCACATGATTGATTGATTGTAAGGGTGTTTTCACATTTCAGTTCCACACTGAATCAGAACCTATTAGACTTAAATAGACTTCATAAACTTCACCGGATAATAGTAGACTTCTTTCAATAGTTTTATGGGATACTTTCTTAAAGAGGAGTAAATAAAAGTTAAATTATAAAAATAGGAGTCGATGTTTAAAGGGCCCTAAATAGGAGATATTATTTGTGAATGAACAAAACCCCCTTTAAGGTGTTAAGGCTTGGTCACCAAACTGCCGCCGCCAGCCACCTGAATCCTAAAATTGTTCGCCGCCGGCCGCCGTATCCCGGCGTCAGAACTCTGCTGGCCACATGATCTCTGAACTGTCGCCCTTGAATTGCCATCACCGCATCTAGACTGCCGCCACTGCCATCAGACTGCTTAGGGGACAATTAATTATATTAGGAAAGGTAAATCTAAAACAATAGTCATATTTAGAGAATAAAAATGTCAACTCCTGCTTGGAAATTTAAGTAATACTTTGCCCCTATAAAATTTCCCTAGTTTGATCTTAAAACACTCGTGTCAATAACCAGAGCTAAATTTTCATGTAATTTGCCAAACAAAAAGTTACAGGCATGTTCAATATGATAGATTTAGTTAGACCTAGAAAACATAAATTGAAGATTCCATAATTTTTACATTTTTTAGAAGTATACTTCGCCAAAGTTCAAAAGTTGTACAATGACCAATTTTTTGAGGACTGAGAATATGACGTTAAAGAAGACATGCAATCCGTGTGGTGATTCTGGTGAACCATAGCTGTAGCAAAAACCTTATATCCTTTTCAGGTAGATGGTATAAACAAATGTATTCCATATACTTCCAAATCCTCATCATCTTTGTTTTTTTTGTCAAAATTTAGCCTTGTTGACTAATTAACTATGAATTTCACTCCAGTGACCGAAATAATAGTTGTGATTAAGCTCAATGCAACTCTTCTCCTCTAACATATATTACCTTGTTTTTTTTCTTTTAACATATAATCACATGATGAGCAACCATAGCATGAAACTAAAAGGTGAATTCTACTACCGAACATAGTGATCATGGCGCACGGCGATCACCATGGCTCAAAGGCATTTTTCATGGCACATGGCGATGGCGCGTATATGAATGGCGCATAGAGCGCATATGGCGCTATGGCGACCGACCAGTTTTTCATGGCGATGGCGCATATGGCGCGCGCCATATCTAGCCATTGACTACTATGCTACCGAGTAATTTGGAAGGTAAATTTGCTGTATTTTGTTACAAGTCCTCATGAACTTTGTTGTTTGCTCTAGTTTTTTTATTAAAGAACAAGTGAATACACTAATCACTCCGCATTGAAAACAGAAATTTGCTCATTCTCTTTACCAATAGAAAAGCTTTAGAGAGATCCATATTTTTTATACATGGATGAATGACTGAGTTAAACATATCCGACATCTGGAAGAATCTGAAACCAAATAGTTTGCAAATATGAGAACGCAGGAAAGCAAATGTTACTAGCAGAAACCCATCCTGGACAACATGAGGAAAACTGGAAATGGAACCCAGTGTATGACATTGACGGTATTACTTAACAGTTAAGTAGTTAAGATAAATAATTGCTAGCATACTATCAGCAGTTAGTATTCTGGGCGGGGTCTGATCCTCTCTGTACATGGAACTGCTCTTTGGTAGTTTACCTTCTTCCCTTCTGAGGGAATACATCCTCTCATATAAGAATCAGACACAAAGAGCCTCAACGATTGTTGAATAAGAAGCCGAGAAGCGCTGGCACATGCCTGGGTGGTGGCAACAAACAACATCTTAATGGCTTGCGAGACAAATGACATCACATGCCCAACAACAAATACATAGTTTAATCCAAAAGAAATCTGTATACAACAAAATTACCTAAGTGCCGCAAAGGCTCCCACCTACGGTATGGGATGTACGCAGCCTTACCCTTGTACTAAAGCAAGGAAAAATTATTTCTGGATGAAAAAGAAATTTGTATATAAACAAATATAAAAGGCTAACCTACAATAGGCACAATAAGACTATTAGTTCATACAAATATATACTGCACTAACAAGAGCTCTACATACTCCTAATACATAATAAGCTTTCACGTTTTGACTCCATATAAACCGTTGGAAGGTTGTAAGGTCAAGTAGCATTGCAGGAACACTTAGATTGTCTTTGGGTATATGTTCATATTTGTATTTGGTTGAACTCGTGAAATAATGTAACATAAATATGTGGTTGGAAATGTGGGTTTTTACTGTTTTATATCAAAATGAGCATAAATGTCTGCAAATAAAACTTAATTGTAAATAACTGGTACCGGTGTATGTATAAGCAAATAAACACAGAGAATGGAAGTCTAAGAGGGTAAAATGGGAGCATTTCAAGATTATCCAATATTACACAAGAAATAGAATATGATCAAATTACGCTCTACATTATCTACAAAAAAAGTAAAGTTACATATCTCAGGTAAGCTAGGTTTTGAAAGGCGAAATCGGGCCTCGAGGCGTTAGGGGGTAGCCTTCCGAGGCGTAAGCCTTGAGGCGTAACGAGGCGTAAGCCCCGAAGTTTAATTGGTTAAGTGTTGCTAGAAACCTATGACTTATTAGAAAGCATGGATAATTCATAAAAATAATGCAGCTTAACAAAATCACAAGTAAAACAAACATAATTATAAAATATATAAGTCAAAATAACATAAAATTGAAATACCAAAGTCAAAACTCAAGAGAAAATAAAACATCAAACTGTAATCAAATTTAAAATTAAACTACTAAAGTACGTAGTATTAATTTTTTAACAAATAAATTAGTATTTAGCAATAAAACCATCACACATAAACACAAATAAGCATATATGATCTTTTAAATTCAAAATAGACACAAATATATTCATTAAACACTAAAAAGTTAAATAAACAGACAACTATTTAATACTAAGTAACTTTTAATCATTCAAAACAGAACTTTTAAATAAATAAAAAGTTACTCCGTAATTATTAAAAAGTTTAAACCATAAAGACAAATACACAATAACAAACTATAGAGTTGGGCGGTGGGGTATTCTATAATACCCGGATGAACCGGCAAAGCAGAGCTGCAGGGAGCTCCTGAAGTCTCTGTGTGGAAGTAACGGAGCTGAGCCGCTGGGGTCTTGAGCAGCTCTTCTTCGAGTTGCTAGTTGTTGTTTGTCGCTATTGTGGACCGGCAATTGGAAATTGGAAGACGAGGACTAGGGCGGTGGCTAAGTGATTAAAGACCCCGGTAATTCGTATTTAAGGATGAAAAAACAAATCTAGGCCCCCACTAATTTTAAAAGCCCAAAGTTGCGTCAAATAAGAGGCGTACGCCTCTTGAACGCCCAACGCCTTAAGCCTGATTCTACGCCTCTTCATAAAAAGGCGCAAGCCTTGTTCCGGGAAGTTAACGCCTTACGCGCGATAACAGGTCGCCTTTGCGCCTTTGCGCCTCTGGTGCGTAGAGGCGAAACGCCTTTTAAAACCATGCAGGTAAGCTAAAACTTTAAATCAAACAAGTTAAATATAGTATCATTTTGGTCACACTTTAAAGAAGGTAATATTAAACGTTTACACGAGGGGTGATCATTGACCTGATTGACAGATGAAGGCAGAAACCAGCTTTGTTGATCCCAATAAATCAGAACCATTTTTAACAACCTGTAGTGTCAATTGCACATGTACCAACTACATTCAGACCGACTGCATCTAAGCAGGCTAGGTGCCACTTGACCATCCGCGGGCTAGTGACTTTTGCATCACTGCTTCCAATCTCAACATACCAACACCAATAACTCTTCCTGTTTTTACCTCTGTCTCTCAGCATACCCACATGTGTTGCCAACGAACCAAGGAGAGAAGTCAATGAATAGAATTCTAACATGAACTTAATAAGCATTAGTATCAACTATCAACGAAATGCAGATAAAAGCTAATAATGGAGTGACCTAAATGCAGAACATGTAGGAAGATAGGCCAAAGCATATACCAATTAAGCATATACCAATTATGTCAAGGGAAGCAGAATTCTCAGAATCGAGGATATCAAATACAGTGGTTCCATATGTCCTCAATGAATGTTAAAGAGAACTTGAGTTCACAAAGCAGGCTATAAGTAAAAAAAATCACAGATTTATCATTCCTTAGAATCACTCTGAGCCAACCCTGTAATATAATCACAATAAACTTATTAACCATATTCATATTTCCTGAAGTCCAACTCTTGCTCACATTACTTTAGCTTGAATTTAATGACAACTTCATACCAGATAAAAATGTTTCCATAAGGAGTGCCTCAAAGGACCCCCCAATGCCCCATGAATGCTATAAGTCAATCATCTAAAATATGTATTTCACTCTTCCATTTCTTCCACCAAGAAAAGGCTCTATGAAAACGTTGTCTATTTTAACATCATATATTTTCTTTTGATACATGATTTACAAGAACATGATCAATAAAGCGATAGTGAGTGGATGAAGTGAACTTCATCAAATCCATCAATGTACAATGTCTGCTCCAAAGCAATATCTTGCTGATTTTTCTCACCCTACTTTTTTCTTTCAGACTGCTTAACAAAAAAAATACACACACACATAAGTATATGACTATATGTTCTTTAGGACTAGTAAATTATGCAAAACTAACTTGCCTTAAATATGTTTTTTTTACTGATCGTTACTGCCATCTTAATGCCCGACATGCCAAAATATGGAAGTATAATTTCAAAATGACATTAATTACTCTTATTTAAGGGGGTAAAGATAGTAGTCCTATTTTCAAATTTCACATTGTTTTACTCCTATTTTGAAAATTTTCTCATATGAAAATAACAAATGCTACAACTGATAGATACAATTATCTTAGTAAGACATTGGATCAAGGAGCCGGCTAAGGCAAACTGAAGATTAGAGATTGGACGGCTACACATGAGGAAGCCCGAAGACTAGGTCACATCCATCAGCTCTCAAATATTATACAGTTGTAACATTAATTGTTAAATATTATGGAGTATGTAATGATCGGCCATCATTTCATATTGTATTGAAGGACTAATACATTGGAAGGGTCATACACATATACTTGGTTCCAACCCGATATATATACCTTCATTTTTACACACTCACATACTGAAATATAGGTATCATCTCACTTGTTCAATTGTTCTTATACTACCTCCATCTCAAAGGGCATTGCCAACTTTGAGTTGTGTGTGAAATAAGAAAAGTAAACCTCAAGTGTTAGAGGTTTGTGCTTGTGCAGAAAGAGAGAAGTAAGCAGAAACGCAACTTAATTTAAAAGAAAAGTGACAATGTTTTTGGGACAAACAAAAAAGAAAAATTGACAAAGTCCAATAGACAAAGGGAGTTTTTAATACAAATCTTATTCCAGGCTTCATATTATCTATTTGTATGTGGTGGGTTCTATGTTAAGACATCCCATTGATAACTCAACAACAGGCAATTGCTACTATTACCACTCTATTAACATGTTGAAATTGGTGTGCACTTTTATTTTATATAATTATTTTTACCGCTTTTAAATATTATAGGTCTGCTGAATGCTTCTTCATGTTTATACGATTATTATGAAGATGCACGAATTTGTCAACACAGACATTTCATCATTTATTTTGCTTTGCAGTTGCATTATAGTTCTGCTGACTATTTTTATATGTTGATGTCTTACAAGTTTAGCATTTAGAAAGGATCAAAGGGGTAGGAGAATTTCTACCACAAACACATAATTGGAATGTAATTTGGGCTTGTATTTTGCAAAAAGAAAGACCTATGGTCATAACTCACAACTATGACACTTAATTTTATCAAACTTCAAAATGACTAGAAATATTTATAGCACATAACTATACTCTCATCCTTTTGGGGGCTCTAAAATCACTAGATGCATTGCTAGACACTGCTAGACACGATTTGCTAATAACCAACGCCCAAGAAGAGATAGCAAATCTTGCAGTATGATATATTGGCACCAAAAGCACTTAGATCCATTTGAAACGGATGCCTCTGCTTCTACAATCATAAAGATGCCACTATCTTCTGTATTAATTAAACTGATAAACCATTCCCTAAGCAGCAATCTCCAACAATATCTTATTCAAAACACCATCTCTTTCAGATCCTGAGCCACAAAGCTCTTGGACTAATGCAGAGAAAGTGAATTTGTTTGGGGAACAATTATTATCTATCATCTCCTGTAGAACTCTGATTCCTTCAGTTGGATTACCGACTTTACAAAATCCCCTAATCAGCATGCTATAAGTAAAAGCATTAGGTATGCACCCCTTATCAACCATGTCATCCCACAGCCTCCCAGCTTCAAGTATCTCTCCATTCTCACTCATTCCTGCAATTAATGTGTTGTACATCAAAACACTGGGAGCCGAACCTCCCTCAAGCTGATCAAATAATTTCTTTGCTTCCCATATTTGTCCCTCCTTGCACAGATGATATATGAGTGTGCTTGATATTGCATTATCAGGGGTGCAGTTCTTTATCAACAATTTTTTCCACAGATCACATGCCTCTTTGACCTTTCCTGCTTCGCACATAGCATCAATAACCCTACAGCAAAGTGATCCACTAGGTGGATATTTGTTATCAAGCATATCATTAAGCAAGTTGACTGCTTCACCTGTTCTCTTCCCAGCACACAAAGCCTCTATCATCACTCCATAACTTACATCATTTGGTTTGACCCCATTGTCCTCCATCTCATCCATCACCTTCACTGCATTCATCAATTTCCCTTTCTTGACGAAGCCGTCCATCAAAATGGTATACGTTGTTGCATCAGGCAGACATCCTTTATCAAGGGTTTCCTTCAACATTCTCTCAGCACCCACCATATCGCCAATAAGAACAAAGCCACCTAGAATGGTGGTATAAGTAACAACATTTGGAACTATTCCCATTGCAGGCATTTCATCCAAAATTCCAATTGCACCACCAACATCACCTTTCTTACACAGAGCCTTCAATAAGATATTACAAGTGACTACATTGGGCACAATGTCTAACTTCTTTCTACAATTCTTAAACAAGATGTGCACAAGATCATACTTTTTGTTATTAACCAAAGCATTCAACAATGTATTAAAAGACTTCACTGACCTTACTATTCCGAAATCTTTGATTTTCAAGAAAGACTTAATGGCCTGCTTTGGTTTGCTTGCAATGCCATAGTTTCGGATAACTGTGACAAACAGATTCTCCGAACAAGTGATGTTAGTATGCCGTAACTCAGCCAAAAGGGTATCCACGGATTCAAAGGCACGAGCTCGACAAAGCTTGAGGATGATGCGGTGGTAGGTTTCATAATTATGGGAAAACCCAGGGTGGTATTTACCTGCGTGGTGGAAGATGTGGAGAGCCATGTTTGGGTCATTTTGGCAGGATATAAGAGAAATGAGTCGTTTATGGGTAAGGTTCCGAGGCCAGGGTTGGATAGGTGGCGTGACTGTGTATGATTGGAGAAGTTCTCCCTTGGACTTAATGTAAGAAAGGTGGTGGTAGCACGGGTGTGCCTTGAAGGGATCATCTTCGTGTTCAGCAGCAGCAGTATAAATAGTGGCCACCGAACTGATGCAGTTTAGAATCACTGTGGTAGGTGGCAGCTGTAGGCAGTGGCGGTACATCCGGGGACGCAACATCACTGCCAATGGACCGGCAAACCTTCAAAAACTCAAAAGCATAATGTTATTGTAGATTCAAGTGGCGTAGCCGGCACATAACATGGGCCTGGCCCCTAGGCCTAATTAAAGAGTGGAAATAATGCATTTATATAACTATATTTCAACTTTATCTGATTTTGTTTTACTATTTTTACACACAATTTCGTATTGCAGCCTTGTAGGTACCCCAAATTTACTTGGAAAGTAATAATTTGATTAAATTGGGATGAGCAACAGCTCATTTCAACATTATTTTTAACAAAATTTCACATGCTATATAAAAGTAGACATACGAAAGGTGTTGGGATCTCTAGTTATTTGAAAACTTCAAGAGAATTTAAGAGATCTGTGAAAACATCAAGAGAATTTAAGAATTTTCTAAATGAATGTCGAGAAGTATTCAATGATATAAAATATTCTAGATCATTTTAGAGAGGTGAAGAATAATCTAGAAAAGTGTGGAATATTTTAGAACATTATGGAGCTACTAACAAAACTGTGAAATTTTGTAGAACTGTGTGGAAATGTGTGAGAGCCTCTAGAACACTTTGCATAAATGTGTAGTCGTCTAGATTCTTTTATAAGATCATAGAAGTTTGTAGGTACTTCTTGGAAGATTAAAGAAGCGTAGAGGGAGGGAGGGGGGAATAGAAGGTTTTAGAGAAATATTAACATATTAGTATAAATAGGGGTTAAACTCCTTATTCATAAGCAATTTTGATGACAACTCTTAGAAAGTGAAGGTGTAGCCTTCTCGAGGAAGGTGAAAGATAACATTTTTTGTGAAAGAAGAGAATCCAAACATATCTCGTGTGAAGTGTAGATGAAGAACTTACTTAGGGTGAAAGGACACAATCTAAGATGGTTTTTCGTTTTTCGTAAGTGTAAGTGAAGTTGGATGAAATAATCTCAAATAGAAAGAGTGAAGTAAGTTACTTTAAACTAGTTAAATCTCTATTATACTTGTATAATATAAAGTCATATTATCATAATCCCTCCGTCCCTTATAACTTTGACAAAGTTGACTGGCATATAGAATAATAAAGGGAAAACAGTGTGGTTAAGGTTCATGCGGAAAAGGGAAAGTGGTAAAGTAGTGAGACAATAAAAAAAAAAAGTTTGCAAAGTTAGAAAGGATGAAGTGAATATTAAATCTTTGTGTTATGCATGCATAAATGACTGTACAAGAATCTTGCCGTGATAGGTGAGATTATATTTCCCCTATGAAGTGTCACTTGACCGGGTGTCCAGGGTCGACCCCCCCCCCCCCTAAACTCCTAATCATATACAAACATCAGTAATAAAACACAAAATTCCCTTCTTTACTATAACTCCTACTTGGTGGCAGGAACTTAGGACAGAATGGTTAAATAGCAAATGCAGATGGGTCCTTCTTTCAGAGGGGCGTCACTAAATCTTTACAAGTTTGACGTAAATGTTAATTTGATTCTGAGAGAACTAAAGGCAAACAATTCGCTAACTCATATATTAAAATATGCCAAGTAAAAGTTTTCAGCCTTGAGTGACCAATTTTGCCAATCAAATTGGGTTACTACAAATAGGCTAACTACATATCAAAATATTAAATAGCTCTAATTAGGCATAAGTACTCATTACCAACCCTGGCTAATCGGACTCAAGGTTCTTAAAGGCTCCAGCAAAGTAGGCGAGCAACATATTGTGGAGAGGACTAGAAACATAATATATTCAGAACAGATGTCAAATTAGACAATCACTGAAGAACTGACTTACCAGAATTGGACTCTCGTCTTCCGTTGTCGAAAAGCACTTAGCAGGTTCGGGTGAGCCGAGCTTGTCGGAAGCTAGATATGATGGTCTTCTGATGCAAAGGCCCGCCAGAACCCTAACTACTAAAGCGTCACCGGAATTGAACGTTTGATGTCGATGTCAAATCACAACAAAAGAAAGTGTGCAAACTGAATGTATGGAGACGGAAACTCACTGAAACCCCCCAAAAATTTGTCTTGGGGTACACAAGATGTACACATATTGTACATCATATAAAAACCCCCCAAAAGTTATCATTCCATTTACCCCACATTTTCTCCTCTCTTTGTTTCCCTCCCACTCCCCCTTCCCGTTGCTTATTTTTGCACGCAAACAAACGCAGCAAAAAGCCACTGTTCACTGAAGCTTCTTCTTCCTCCTGTTCTCTTCACATCTCGACGGAGGAAGTATACTTAGACTTGAGGAATGGATTATACTCTTGAGGAGATGGCCTTCATCAGTAATTATGACATGGCTGATTTTATGGGACCTAAAGTAGACGAAGGCGGCTCCGTGTCTGAACCTCCGGCGACACAAGAAGGTGAGCCCTGTACGAAAGACGTCGGCGACGGAGAGGAAAAGCAGATTCTGGAGGTTGATGATGAAGAAGGTACGTGGAACGTAATGTCTGTGAGGACAGGCATTTCGTGTTTTCAGTGCCTGTGGAACTGAATGACATTGTATTTGTATACTCTAACATTCATTAATGGCACTCCATGATTTTGAAGTAAAAGTGTTGTATTCGTATTGTATTTTTGATGTAGTAAATGTTGATATTCTATTGCTTGTGCACACAGATGAAATAAAGTAAATGTGTTTTGCTATTGCCTGCCCACAGACGTTTATATTTTTAATAATCAATTTTTATATATGTGTTCTCTCATACCCGGATAACACTAATGTAGATGGTGGTACACCAGACGTCCATGTAGAAGTTGGGATGTTGTTTGCGGGAAAAGATAAAGCCTGTGATCATTATAAGAATTACGCCAAACGTATAGGTTTTCCCATTAGGATTAGGAGCTCAACGAAAGACAAAGAAGGAAACGTAACAGGAATGTTAATTGAATGTGGTCGTGCTGGAAATAGAGTTTCAAAGTCAACAAATTGTTTGATGCCTGCAGCTACTAGTGCAATGGGTTGCAAAGCCCGAATCAAAGTAATGTATGACTATGCCGGGTCATGGGTTATTTCGAAAGTGCATGAACAGCATAACCACCCTATGAGTCCTACCAAAACTAGAGCTTTTCGTTGCAATAGGAGATTGACTATGAGCGCGAAGAGAAAAATTGCAATAAATGCGGTTGCCGGAATTCCTCTTCACAAAACCTACACCTCTGCCGCAGTAGAAGCCGACGGTTATGAGAATTTACCGTTCATTGAAAAGGATTGTAGGAACTACGTTGACAAGTTTCGCCGCTTGCGTTTAGGAAATGGTGATGCCATTTCAATTCAAAGTTTCTTTTACAAAATGCAAGCGGAGTGCCCCGGTTTTTTCTTTGCCCTTGATGTAGATGAAGAATCTCGCCTTCGCAATGTATTTTGGGCGGACAAGCGATGTCGGTATGCTTACAGAGATTTTGGAGATGTGATAACTTTCGATACAACTTATCTCACCAATAAGTACGACATGCCATTTGCACCTTTTGTAGGAGAAAGAAGCTGTTCTCTTCGTCTGATCTGAATGTTTCTGATCTGAATTTTTTAAGTTCTGATCTGATCTGATCTGAATTTTTCTGATCTGATCTGATCTGATCTGAATCTTTCTTATCTGATCTGATCTGATCTGAATCTTCTTGATCTGATCTGAATGTTTCTGATCTGGTCTGATCTGATCTGAATGTTTCTGATCTGATCTGAATCCTTCTGATCTGATCTGAATCTTTCTGATCAAATCTGATTTGAATATTTCTATGATTATAATTATAATTATAATTATTATAATTGTAATTACAAATATAACTTAATAAAATTATAATTATAATCGTAACTATAAAAATAATAATAATAATTAAAATTAAATTTAAAATGAATAAATTTATACATATTACACTAATTATAAATATAGATATAATTATAATTGTAATTATATTTTTAATTATAATTACTTATATAATTATAATTGTAATTATAATTACAATATTTATCTCTATAATTGTAACTATAGTTATCAATATTATTATAATTACTCCGTAAAATAATTACAATAGTAACAATAATATTAATAATTATAATTAAAATAATAATTATAATCATAAATTATAACTATAATATAATTATAAGTATATTTATAATTAATAATAATAATAATTATATTAACATTAATTATAATAGTATAATATAATAATAGTAATATAAATACAATTAATATTATTATAACGATATTAATATATTAATATTATTATTACAATAACATAATAATAATAATAATAATAATAATAATAATAATAATATAACTAGTATTATATTATTATAATATTATATTATAATTATAATCATAATCATAATTATAATTATGATTGTAATTATAATTATTATAATTATAATTAATTACAATTATAATTATAATTAATTATAGATATAATTATAATAATTACAATTTATATACTTATAATTATAAGAGTTATAATTGTAAGTATAATTATAATTACATATAACTATAATATAATATTATTATAATATTAATCATATTATTATTATAATATTGTAATAATAATAATAGTCTTCTTAATAATTGCATTTATATTACTATTATTATATTAAAATATTATAACTATATTAATATCTTATTTTTTTATCATATTATTATTAATATTATTAATAATAATTATATAATAATAATCATAATAGTAATAACAATATTAATAATAATAATTAATATAATAATAAAAGTGATAAATCATGTTTGAACTTTTCTGATCTGATCTGATCTGAATGTTTCTGATCTGAATGTTTCTGATCTGGTCTGATCTGGTCTGGATCTTTCTGATCTGATCTGAATCTTTCTGATCTGATCTGATCTGATCTGAATCTTTCTGATCTGATCTGATCTGAATTTTTCTGATCTGATCTGATCTGATCTGATCTGATCTGAATAAAATAAGAATAAGTAATAAGTAATAAGAATAAGACGAACAGAACAGCACCTAAACCACCATGGGCAATCCATCTTGTTTGGTTGTGGCTTAATTTCAAATGAGGACACCGACACATTTGTGTGGTTGTTTACAAAGTGGCTTGAGTGTATGGATGGTTGTTGTCCTAGTGGAATTATTACCGATCAAGATAGGGCAATGCAAAATGCCATTCAAATTGTGTTCCCAAATACAAGACATCGGTGGTGTCTATGGCATATAATGAAGAAGGTGCCTGAGAAGTTGGGAGGGTTGACTGATAAAGATGAAGTTAGTGCTTGTTTACATGATGTTGTTTATGACTCCCAAACGGGTGCACAATTTGAGTTCGCATGGAGTTCTATGTTGCAAAGGTAAGCATTTGTTTTGTACAAGTTATGTTCAATATTACAACTATTGTAACATTCATGTTTTGTAATGTGTAGGTTTCATCTTAATGACCACAAATGGCTACATGTGCTTTACAATGAAAGACATTGGTGGGTGTCATGCTACTTGAGGCCAACTTTTTGGGCAGGGATGTCAACGACCCATCGGTGGCTGAACTTGCTACTAAAACGTGAGATAACTAAACAATAATTTTTTAAATAAAAACAAAATAATTCAAGTGTTCCAGTTTTACCAGACACCAGGAAGGGAGAAGGGGTTTGTCCATCCACCTCCAAAGGAAGCATCCCGATTTTACTAGCCACCGAGAAAGGAGTCATCTCAATTACGGGACCTTGTTGTATTTTAGGTGGTGGTGTTCTGGGAGCACTGTCGCCTTGCCGTTTTTTGATCCATTGCCATCAACCTGCTTCATTAATGGCAAATAAAATGAATGTCGGATCCGAAACAGAGAAAAAGGAGTAGCAGAATTCACGAACAAAAGCACAAGCAAGTTCAAAATTGGAGTGGACCAAACCCTCAGTCAGAGAAAATTTAACTGGACGAAATAAAATTGAGCAGAAAATTAGTTGAAAAAGAAATCACAAGCGATGAGAAAAGCTAACAAGAGATCACCAAAATTACCCCAAATACCATCCAAATTTGTTGCTAAGATGGAAAAAGAAAAAGAAGATAAGACGTCTACCACACCCTTCTAGGTAGATCAGATTTCCGTCACACCTCTATGGTTTGTCCATCATCGATCGCCATAAATCTCAATTCTTAATCATGCTGATTTTTACTTTTGTCATTCACTTAAATCTTAATGGGATAAGGTCATTAAAGTCATACACTATCTAGGCATATACATTATAGAGGCCGTTTGACAACACTGTTTTTCGGCTAATCAGGCTTATCAGCCAGTTTTTTACCAAATACGTAACTTTTGCTTTCGCGCGCTGAATTGTCTAATAAGCAGAAAAAGTAAGGTTGGAGTTACTTTTCTGGCTGTATTGGCTGAAGTTACTGTAGATGACCATTTTAGCTATTTTTACATATATTTTTTTCTTTATTTTTTTAAATAAAATATACTACGTATTTTAAAAATAATTTTTTCTTAAATCAGCAGAATCAGCCAATGCGGCCACTTCAGCCAGAACTTCATGAATTTCAGCAAAAACAACCAAATAAGTCGATTTTCGTGCTGCCAAACAGGCTATTATACATTTGAAGGGCAAGCAAAACCGCAGGATTGAGTTTCACAGCCCAGCTACCCCTCTAACGGACTGCCTCCCACCTATCCTAAACATTTGATAAAGGTTGTCACTGCATGAAAACGCGAGTGAATGGTTCTGCTATCGAACTTGCTGCAGTTGGAAATTAGAATTCCAGTGGAGTGTGAATGAGTTTTGGTAGTAAGTTACCAACTTTATGTGGTGTTATCGCCTTATCGGGCAGAAACCCGAGCATGGTAAGGATGAGAAGAAGAAAGCCGAGCAAGTTCATCTTTTCAAATGTGCGTGTACACACTAGTTGTACATGACATTTTACACGTTAATCAAATTGTTTGTGCATATACGATTTTTTTTTTCATTTTGTGAAGAGAACATTGTTTCGGACATGCATTTTTTTCCTTTCCTGTGACAAACACTTTTGTTTGTTGGTATGAAAAGCGTTTTTCTTCACCAAACGAAAAAATTGTTT